TTTTAAATGTTATTTTAATCTATGAGAGAAGAAAAATTCTCCAGCTTGTGCCTAATGTAGCACCAGAGCTGAGGTATCTTTCTGGGTCTCATGAACCCTGACCACAGGCCCGAAGCGCAGACACAAGGCACGAAGGAGTGCCGATGCTCCCCGAGCACTACCTGGAGTCTCCACAACATGCACAATGGCTTCATTGTTCCCATTCACCGAGTAGGTGAAGTAGAACCAGCAGTCATCCACATCCTTCTCCTTGCAGTGCGACAGCGGGTCCACCTGCACGGGCTCCGGCAGCTTCTCCCGGCTTTCCACCTTGGTGAGGTTGAAATGAGAGCACTCCTGTGCGCACCGGTCTTTCTTCTCTCCTTTATTGAAGGCTCTGCACTGAACACACTCTCTGGTAAAACACAAATTGCTATATTTAGAATGTATTATTTAATGGGAGGGAAAAAAACAAAAAAACACTTTCGGTAAATGTTGAGGGGAGGAAGGGTTGAGGGGAGGGGAATGGGAAAACAGAGTTCAGACGCACTTTGTACCGGCCCAAATTCCCTGTGATGCATGTGATCATTCTGTGTAGCAAATACGCACTAATGGAAAGCTGTGGGATTTTTTGGTACTGGGAATTGAACTCAGGACCTCACACTTGCCTGGCAAGTGCTGTGCCACTGAGCTATATTTCTGGCTCATAAAAATATTTTTAAAAGACAAAAAAATACTTAAGGCAAATTGTTGCTTAAAGATTAGATTGTGTGCCAAGCTCACGACTCAACAAAGAACAAGCAGTGAAATAAGAATACTGTGCTTCTGGATGGAAAATTTACAACTGGACGCTAGATTCAGGCCCCACTGTCCATGGCATCCTGGCTCGCCCAACCCAGCCAAGGGGAAGAAGGAAGATGGTTCCCACACCACGGGACAAGCGTCCAGGAAGCCACAGGCCACCAAAGCCACCTGCCAGCACCTGGTTCCCTGCAGCATGGCACAGTCTCACTGCCAGAGGCTGGCCCTGTGGGGCTGGGAGACATTCAAGCAAACCAGAGTCCTCCAAATTCTGGTGCCCAAAGGTGGCTTCTGGTGTCTGAGAAAGGAAACTGCTCTGAACTTTGGAACAGACCTGGCTTCGAGGCCTTTCTAAAAACACCAGCCCAGGTGTCACCCTGTCACCTGGGTAGCAATTATGCCAAAGTCATCTGCAGACTGCGCTTAACGACCCACTATGATGTGAAAGAGTTTGTTCTCAACACACACAAAAAAATTTTTTTTCAGTTACTGGTGGTTTTAAGTACTATCTACATATGTGATGGGAATGAAAAAACTGGGGACAGAAATCAAGTACTGATCATTTCCCCATTTTCATTTGTGCGT